ACACACACACACACACACACACACACACACACACACACACACACACATACACACACGCACCAGTTTAATATAAGTTAAAGATCACCCTCAGCTGCAAAGTGAGTTTGAGGCCAGTCTAGTCACATGAAACCCTGTCTCCAAAACAAATGTGCTGCCTTTTACCATACTCCACCCTGCTTGAAGCCTCAGCTTCCTCCTTTACTTGAGGCCTCTGTCCAACGCCCCACCCAAGGCCAGCCTCATTCTCCTCCCAGGAGGCCTCTCTGCAGGTTCTGTCTTTCCTGGGCTATCCTTGGGCCTCTTAGGCCCCGCCCACCCAGTGCAGTGCACGATGCTTCATTCTATATTTGTGTCCACTCACTTTTGGCACCAAGTGGGAGGTTAGTCGGTCACCACCGCACCCCCCCCCCAACACCCACAGGGGAGGCATGGGAGCACAGGAAACACATGCGGTGTTCATAAAGCAAATCAAGAACTACCTTCAAGGAACTCAGCCTACTGGAGGAGACAGACCAGACGTGGAAGACTATGCCAGTGCTGGGCAAATCAAAGCAGGATTTACCGGGAACAGGTGCCAGACAGAGGCTCTAGGCCATGGGAACCTTGGGAGGATCCGGGAGAGAGCAGGTCAGGTTTCCGCTAACCTTCAGAGCAGGCAGGAGCACAGACTGTCTAGCCCTGTGGTTTGCAAACTCCTGGAGCTCTTGGTCTGTTTGTCCCAGCACAGGAAGCTTCAGCAACAAACAGCTAAGAGCAGGCTGCCTGGAGCTGAAGGCCTATGGCTGCCGGAGCACAAAGCCCAGTGCTCCCGAGACAGGAGCTGCTGTGACACCCACACTCTGCTCTGAGCACATTTTGAAAGCCCCAACCCCTTGCACAACTGAGGAAATGGAGGCCCTGGCAGAGCTGATGGTTTGTCAGAGTCCCAGAATGAGGCTCTGCGTCACCTAAGCTCTCAGGGCCTCTTGGTCCCTCTGATCGGCTGCAGGAAAGGCAGGAGAAGATCTGAGCTGGCATGACAGTGGACAGGGACTCAAGAGAAACTGTCACCTCCAGAGAGAGAGGGAGGTGGACAGGGACAGGAGGATCCTGGCCAACCTGGTTGTCTCAAAAGTGCTTTGATTATTGTTACTGTGTGTGTACGGTGTGTGCTGGAGGGGGAAACAGCACGTGTGTGCCATGTATGGACACCTCCTCAGAGGGCAACTTCTGAGTCAATTCTCCTTCCACCTTTACTAGCCCAGGTCCTCAGGCTTTCTCCTCGGCTTCAACAAGTTGCTGCCCCTCCAGGTGATTCTAACATGCAGCTGAATGTGCAAATCACAAGCTCACTAGTAAGCCAACTACCGGTATGCCACACCAAACTACTCATCAGGGCCACCTGCAGGCCAGAAGAAGCCCTCAGGACCCAGAGACACTGATGGGCCCTTGGGGACCAGGCCTGGAAATCTGCATTTGGAGATTCTACTGCTTGATCAGCTCATGGGTCTATGGGACTATAGAAGCAATCAGGCTTGCCTCCGGCTCAGGGTAAATAAGGATGTCACCTTCAGACCCCAAGATGAATTCCCAGAAGTCACTGATTCCAAACATATGTTCCTCAAAGGGAGCCTGGTATGTCTAGTGCCCCTAGCAGATCTGCACTTGGCCCTTGAACCACCTCGTGCCACTCAGACCTGTCCTGTTGGCTGCAGTGGGCACATCAAGCTGGGGAAGGCAGAAAGGGAGGGATCGAAGGGGGGAGAAAGGAAGGAGCAAGTAATGTCCAAAGCCTTTCTTCCATATTTCTGTAGGTGTTCTGTCTCTATAACCCAATGTCCTCTCTTGTGGATCATCTGTCATTTTATCTAGGCCAAAAGGGACTCACTTACAAAAATGTTCTTCAAGGGGGGAGTGATCCGAACCCAGAGGAGCTGAGGAAGTACTGACTGCCATGGAGAAGATTTCCACCACCAAGAACCCTGATGCTTAGGAGATAGTGCAAAGCAGAGACGGCACACTGGGGAGGGATGGGTACTGGCAGTGGCTGGCAGTGACCTCCCGCCCCTGCTCACGGGCCTTCCATATTCCCCTTTTGTCTACTGGGTCTTTTATCAAAGCTTTGATCTATCTAGGCTTCAAGGTACCTCGAAGGGGCCCCCAATTTCCTTTCTAATCTTCAGTCCCACGAGCCTGCTTCTCACCCCTCTGGCAGACAGACTGGTTAGGCAGCACCTCCCAAATACATGTCGCTGTAGCGGCAGCCCCGGAAACCACCTCAGTGTGAGGAGCTCCCACGGAACCTTTGTGGTAGGCTGACAGCGGATAGAATTTCTCTGTCCCCCTCCCACCCACCCAATCATGTAGAGTCTACCCTTTAAATCTGGACTGATCTATGCCATTCTTTGACCAATATAAGGAGACAAAATTTGAAGGCTGGGCCCAGGTGACCTTGAAGCTTTTTGCTCTTATGCTCTTGGAACCAACTAGGTTTTCTGAAGAAATGTGGCCTAGTCGGGGAGCATCAAATCATTGGACTGAGGCAGCCCTCCTGGCTGAATCAGCATCTATCACGCAGAAGAAAGACTGTCTAAAAATGTGATAGTAGGGCTGGAGAGATGGCTCAGGGGTTAAGAGCACTGGCTGCCCAATTCCCAGCAACCACATGGTGGCTCACAACCATCTCTAGTGAGATCTGGTGCCCTCTTCTGGCGGCAGGCAGAGCACTGTATAAATAATAAATCTTTAAAAAAAATGTGATAGCATCTGAGGAAGACACCTGAGGCGGACCTATGGCCTTCACACATATTTGCATACACACTCACACCAGCACACATGAGCAAGTATACACATACACATAGCTCTCAGTAGAGACTGTCCTATTGGACAGTTCTAGACTGCCTAAAGCTTTGGCATCTGGTATTCAGGGCATGGACTAGGATAGGGGTTTGAATATGGAGATCTCCAATGGCCACAGGGGTTCCTGTGGACATTCTGTAGAGGAGATAGCGGTAGGCCTAGAAATTCAATCCTAACTTGGTAATTTGTGCCAAGTTGAGGTTCTGCCTCTAAAGAGGTGGAAGCAAGGGCTGGGCCTCTAGGTCAGTGGTAGAGAGCTTGCCCTGTGTTGTGCAAGGTCCTTTGTTGATCCCCAGAACTGCAAGAGAGGAAACAGAAGATGGGGTGGGGAGAGAGCACGACCTTTTCAAGTTAAAGGTAAAGAGCCATTTGACCTTACCTGGCTCCAGGGTGCCTCAGCCCTGGCCCCACTCACCTGACTCAGACTCTGCCTTCCTGTCTTCTGCAGAGCCACAATGGCCCTTCCCAGGGGATAGCCCAAGGCGACCACTGGCCCGATGAGGTCTTGCTCCTCTTTGGTCAGGGCAGACAGCAGGTCATTTGCTGGATCAGGGTGCACTCCACAGGAGATGAGGGGCTGGGGTGTCTCCCTAAGAGGTGGCAGGCAGGTGTACCGGCTGAGGGACTGAAATACAGACAGGATGCAACCACAGGGAGTCACAGTCAGCTGGCTGGACATCTTAAGAGGTGGCTTTGTGTCCCACTTTCTACACACTGTGGAGAGCTATGGGCCTGCAGGCCCCAGCTCCTCATTTCTATTCACTTTGCCCAGATGTCAACAGAGACCATCTAGAACTACCTCATCAGGCTGTTAAGAGGCATAAATCAGAGCATGAGCAAAATGATTACTTAGCAGAGGGCCTGGCATGCAGAAGCTGTCAGCAAAAGCTAAGATTTCACTTACCACTTGCAACACTGCAAATGAAATATGACAGGTAGCCCAGGTGTAACGGTGCATGCCTGTAATCGTGGCTACTTGGGAGCTGAGGCAGGAGGATTGCTCGACCCCAGGAATTCAAGTGAGTCTGACCATCATAGTAAGAGGTCAGGTCAGGAAGAAAACCCAAAAGATGGTGTATAGCTCAGCTGGTAGCTAGAATGCCTAGAATGTCCTAGGTCCTGGGTTCAGTCCTTAGCGTCTCATACACAGGGCTTGGTGGTGTGTCCCTGTAACCCCAGATGCAAGAAGATAAAAAGTTCAAGGTTATCCTCAGTTACCACTACATAGCAAGTCTGAGGCCAACTAGGCTACATGAGATCCTGTCTCAGAGAGAGAGAGAGAGAGACAAACAGACAGAAAGAGACAGAGACAGACAGACTATCACCCTATTATTTCAGGTCAGGTTCAGAGAAGTCAGTGGCCCAACATACAGTACACATTTGAGATATGGACCCTGCCTTGAGGCTGCCGGCGCCACAGCCTAGTGAGAGGGAGCATCTGCCCAGCCACACTCTCCTGCAGCTGAGCCCGGCGCAGCAGGGCAGAACTCAGCCTGAAGACATTCCTGTGTGTGGCTGGCATCACGAGGAAGGACTTCTCAGCTAGGAATCAAACCAGCAGGGCACTGTTGGCACACCATCAGACCTCTCCCCACCCATGAGGGAAACCCAGGTGCTGCCTTGCTCTTGGGGCCTTGGTGTGTGTATGGGACATGTGAATTCCCGCCCGCCTCCACCTTCTCAGGGCCTTCTCTCCCATGGTTCCTCCTTTTACAAGTTGGGGAACAGACAGGTTTGAGCAGTGGTATTACTCTGTCTTTGAAAAAGACTCTTAGCTACTGTCTGCCTGGGCTTCCTTGTGGCTCATCCAGCCCCCACAGGTTATTGCTCAAGTTGATTTTCTTTAGACTGTGGCTTGTTTCGTAACTATGTAGCACAGAGTAGTATTAAAGTTGCCATGGAGCTAAGGCTGGCTTCCCACTGGCAATCCTGCTTCAGTCTCCCGAGATGCTGAGATTTCAAGTGTGTGCCACTATCTTCTGCCAATTAAATTGATCTTGACCGGGGAGGGACCATTTTGCCATCACCATCTGGTATCAGTCCAGCTCCCAACGCCCCTGTTCTGTCGCGCTGGCAGCGCGGGCCAGCGGCTCAGCCAGAGTTCCAGACCCCGCTGTTTAGATTTAATTTCTCCTCAGCCTTAGTCTGTCTCACCGCAGTGGGACTGTGTCCCATCTGACTGTGGGACGCAAGGCTGTGCCCAGTGCCATATTCTGCCACCAGTCTGGATCTCCCTCAGTCTTCCCCCGATCCAAGGGCTGGCAGACTTTGAACCTTACTCATTGGTGGGGGTGGGGCGGGAGAGTGGGTGTCCCTCAAGAGAAAAAAGATAGAAATACAAAACTGGGCACTCCTGGGCTGCCCGACGCCTGTTTCTCTGACTGTAGGCTCGCTTCTGCTTGGGGACTTGGCACGCACCCCTACAGCCTGGTCTCCCCAGCTGCGCCAGTCCTGCCTGTGCAAAGCTGATCCCACAGCCAAGCCTGGCCTCCCCCCACAGCCTCTTGACCAAGTCTCTTTGTCCTGTGGGTGTCTGGTGGGAAGCAACTGAATCCTTGATTGCGCCACTAGCTTCTCGGCAGGGAACCCCCAGATCTGACTGTGTAACAGGTATTCACCGGGCTCCCCCTGTCGGTAGGGTCTGCTGCTGGTGCCCAGGAAACAACAACAATGTTAGCCGACCCCACCCCCGAAAGAACTAATGTTTCTCTGAAAGCGACAGATGGGGCGAGGAACTCTTAGTCACTGTGACACCCCCCTCCCCCTACGTGGGAAATGGAGAGAAAGAGAGCCGCTGGGCGAAAGGAAGGGCAGGACCACAGGGCCGGGTGGGACCGCCGAGTGCAGGGAGGAAAGAACCCAGGCATCCTCAACCTGGAGGCTTGGACTTGGGGCTGTGGCCGGGGAGGAGGGCTCTTACAGCGACCATGGGCTTGTGGCTCCTCAGCGGAGGCATGGCGCCGGCGGTGGAGGGTCGTGGGGGCAGCTCGGGGACGTCGGGGGGCTGCGGCGCTGGGCCAGGGGCCGGCGCCAGGCTGGCGTGCAGGCTCAGCGCGCGGTGGTCACGGAAGCGGTGCAGCAGCGCTCGCGGACAAGCGGCCAGCTTGCTCTCCGAGAGCCGCCGCCCGGCGCCAGCCAGCCCAGACCGCATGTGTCGGAGCACGTCCAGGGAGCAGCGGCGGTGGCTTGTGGGGGAGCCGAGCGGAGCGTTGCTGGAGTCCACCTCCTCCTCGCTGGCGCTGGTGGAGGAAGCACCTGCCTCGTGCCCCTTCTCACCTATTTCTTCTTCCTCCTCCTGGGGAGGTGCTTGGAGTCCAACCTCTGGGTCTCTGACTTCAGCAGGTGTAGGTCCCAGATTGTAGTTTGGATTGACCAGTAACAACCAGGCCGGAGGGGCTGATGCAATCCCCCCGTCACTGCCCTGGTGGGGGAAAGGTCCTCGGAGGGCTGCTTCCACCCAGAAGAGAGCCTTCCTTTCCAGGCTGAAGTCATACTGCAGAGAGATACACCGTGTAAGCCAGCTGTGGCAAGCCACGGCCTGTGGGGCCACAGCCCTCGTGCTGGCTTGGGGCCCTGTTCAGTCAAACTTTACAGCTGGGGAAAGGTCCTGGCTCTAAGCTCTGGGTATCCCCACAGCCCACTCCCATCCAGCCCCAACATTACACAAACTGGACGTGGGTCTGGCTGTGCACACCTGTGAGCTCAGCCCTGAGAGGCAGAGGCAAGAAAATAGCAAGTTCAAGGTCCTTCTGGGCCGGGTAGTGCATTTAAGACAATCCTGGGCTACCAGAAAACATGTCTCAAAATTAACGTGTTTGTGGCAAAGCAGCTTTCACCTGGGTTCACCTGGGCCTGGCACGGCTGGCCACAGGGCTGTCAGCCTGAGAAGCAGGTCTGGCACATAAGCCTCCTCAGCCAGCGGTATTACCTGTCCCCACTCCCTTGGCGGATACCACGATTATTCCAGGGCCCAGGGAATGTAACAATCTAGTCTGCCTTGAGCGCTGCTTGGTGGAGTCAGCTGAATCCTGTTTCCAGATTAGAGATAAGGAAGGCTCAGACTTGCCGTCTCAGGGGGCCGAGCTGTGTCTCTGCCTCTCTGACTGCAGAGCTTCCTCCACTGCACATCAGGCCACTCAAGAGCAGGACAGGGCCAGGTGTGATGATCCCAGTGTCACAGTCCCTACCTGCTGCAGGCCATGGCTGGCATTCCCTGCCCTCCATCTAGGGGTGGAACTTTTCTCCCAGGGGCCTTCACTATATAACCCAGACATCTTGGTTCTGCTGACCCTTTTCTCCTTCTTACCCTTTTTCCCTTTCCTGCTCTCTCTCTCCTTCTCTTCTCCCCCCAAAGCGTATTCTCTCTTCCCCTCCCCTCCCTTTCTGCTCCTAACAAACTTGTATTTATATAATGTAGCTTCGTCTCACCATTAGTTTATTCCACTTTATTTAATCAATCAACTAGCACCCGGGAGATAGAGGCAGGGAGATCTCTCTGAGTTCTAGGCCAGCCTGAGTTCTGTGCCAGCAAGGGTACATCACAGTGAAAACCCTTACTGTGAAAAACAAGAAAAAGGGGTGGGGTGGGGCTGGAGAGATGGCTCACCAGTTAAGAGCACTTACTGCTTTTCCAGAGGATCTGGGTTCAATTCCCAGCACCCACATGGTAGCTCACAACTGTCTATAATTCCAGTTTCATAGGATCTGACACTCTCACACAGACATATATGTGCATGAAATAAAAATAAATAAATAAATGAATTTACAAGAAAAAGAAAGCAGACTACAAATTTGCATTCCCACCAGCAATGAAGGAGGGTTCCCCCTTCTCCACATCCTCACCAGAATGTGCTGTCACTTGAGTTTTTGATCTTAGCCATTCTGACAGGTGTAAGATGGAATCTCAAAGTCATTTTTGAGATTCTCAAAGTGGAATCTCAAAGTGATTTGCATTTTCCTGATAACTAATGGTGTTGAGCGTTTCTTTAAGTTCCTCTCAGCCATTTGAGATTCCTCTGTTGAGAATCTGTTTAGCTCTGTACCTCCCTTTTTAATTGGATTGTTTGGTTTACGTTTAATTTCTTGAATTCTTTATCTATTTTGGATATTAGCCCTATGTCAGGGGTCGGGTTGGTAGGGCTCTTTTCCCAGTCTGCAGGCTGCTGTTTTGTTCTGTTGACAGTGTACAGGATAGCCATACAACTCACAGACCTAAAGAAGCTAAGTAACAAGGAGGGCCGAAGGGAGATTCATGAATCTCCCGGAGAAGGGAAATGGAATAGACAAAGGAAGTTCTTGAAGAGAGGGAAGAGAATGGGGGGGAGTGCTGAGAGAAATATGGGCGGGGATCTAGTGTAGGAAGGGGGCAGGAGAACAGAGAGCTTGCAGAGAGAAGAGAAACCATGGCCTGGGGCATCTCTGAGGCAGGCTGGAGACCTATGAGAGGGCAGGCTCCTGGGAGGATATGGGGTAGCCCTAGTGGAGACCCCTGCTAGTGGGGCACACTAGAGACTGAAGAGGCCACCCTCTAACCAGACAGGACTCCTAGTAGAGGGAGGGGAACACCAACCCACCCACAAAAACTCGACCCAAAATTTACCCTGCCAACAGGGCTGAAGATAGAACAGAGATTGAGGGAACATCAGCCACACCGTGGGAGAGAGCCAACCTCTGACACTATTAATGACACTCTGTTATGGAAGCCTAGTATAGCTGTCCTCTGAGAGGCTCCACCCAGCAATGGATGGAAACAGATGCTGAAACTCACAGCCAAACACTGGGCAGAGCACAGGGAGCCCTGTGGAAGAGTGGGAGGAAAGATAGAAGGACCTGGAGGGAACAGGAGCTCCACAAGAAGACCAACATAGCCAACTAACCTGGGCCCACTGGGAATTGCAGAGACTGAAACACCAACCAAGGACCATATATGGACTGGACCTAGGCTCCTTTCATATATATAACCAATGGACAGCTTAGTCTTTATTTGGATGTCCTAGTAAGGGGATCAGGAATTGTCTCTGACAAGGACTCTCTTACATACTTTTTGATCACTTCCCCCTGGCAGGGCTGCCTTGCCAGGCCACAGATAGAGGATGCATTCTGTCCTGATACAACTTGATGTGCTGGGATGGGTAGGTGTGGGGAGAGCTCCCTTTTTCTTAGGAGTAGGGGAGGGGGAATACAGGGAAGAGGGAAGGAGGGTGGGAGCGGGAGCAGAGGAGGGAGGGGGCTATGACTGGGATATAAAGTGAATAAATAAATAAGTAGATATTAGATTGTTGGTAATAATAAAAAAGAAAGTAGATTAGATCCCATGTAATAATCTAACTTGAGAAGTGACAAATGAGGAAAAATCCTTACCTTTAAAGTTATGAAAAAAACCACACAACTTTGCTAAAAATATAAACATTTTGGCTCATTGGCCAAACGCTTGCATGGAGTGTACAAGGCCCTGGGTTCTCTCCCCAACACAGCATAAAGAAATATATCTAAAAGGCAGTTTCAGTGTTCTTCCATGGATAACTGATAAAAGTCTAGGGAAAGGAGTGTCTGGTGGCGGGAAGCAGGGGGGAGAGGTGGGTGGGCAGAAAGACACACACACTTGGGACTCACTCTCCCCTCTTGCCGACAACACTCTGCCTTGTTGATAGGCACATAACTCAGCTGCTCCAGTGCGACTGTGTGCCCAAGGCTACAAATTGTGCTTTGTTCCTCTGTAGCTCTGGGGCCTAGGGCTCTCCTGGCCAGTGTAGGCACATAGAAATGTGCAGAATTAACAGCTAGAGAGAGACTGGAGCAAGGAGAGGCATGGAGGAAAGACAGAGGAGAGGGAAAGACAACCTCATCCAGAGTCACAGCTGGAGAGGAGACTAAAAAATTAAGAGACGGCCAGTAGGGCCCAGAGTGATGAAAAGATACAAAGATCCAATAAAATATCAACACTTTTGATTACAAAACTCTACAAGATCCCAAACCTCCTATCTCCATCAGTAATACTTTATGAGTAACGAAGAAGCATCTCAAGCAATAGGAAAAGTAGTGAGCAGTGAGTAAGTGTGTCAGTGAGGGGGACACCCTAGCTCTCATGTGTTAGGTTCGACTCTTGGCTTACAAGAGATGATCTGGAACCTGCTGTTCACTGAATGAAATGAAGCATCAAAGATTCAAGTAGGTGATATGAAAGAACTGAGAGAAAACCGGAGCAAGCTTTTCTAGTCTCATTTAGAGATGCTCATTCTGTCAAATCCAGAATCCCAAAAAGGTAATTCTCTTCCTCCACCACCATCCCCTCTTACAACTCTTACACACACACACACACACACACACACACACACACACACACACACACATGCATGGATGCACTGTGCATATAGGAACATATATGAGAAAACAATCAACAGTCCAACAGGAACAAAATAAGCAACTCTGTGGAGAACCTACAGAAAGAACTTACAAATGACAAACTATGAAAAGCTACTGAACCCTATTTGGCAACTGAGAAAGGCAAAGTAAGACTTCCCTGAGATACTATTTGCCTGTCCCTTGGCCAATCAGGTTTGAAGACCGCTTTTGAACCTGAGACACTGGGGGGATAAAGGATAAATCGGTGTGAGCCAATGAGGGTAGTTGATGTAAATCCTAACAGACATCTGCATGTAGGCCACACTCCCCCATGAAAACTAGGAACAATCTAAATGTCCGGCAAGAGGGGACTAATTCAATGAAGGTTCCTACAAATAATACAAAATAGAGTGAAAGACAAAACCAAAGCTCTCTGTAGACTGGTAAGAACTTATAATACATTGAAGTGAAAGCAAGAAGAAATTTTATTTTTATTTTTTATTTTTTTGCGTATGCCCACATAAGAACTTCTGGTGACCAAACTCCTCTCCTCGACAGCATGGGCCTGCGTCAGAGAAAGAGCAGCTGCAGTGCAGGCTGCAGAGTCAGGGCTATGCACAGAGGGCAGGATCCTGGCCTCGGTGTTCTGTGCTCTCAACGCCACTGCAGCTGCAGCTGCTCCACTCGAGCCTCCCCACGTCTCTCCTTCTAGACTGCCCTCTGCCCTCTGCCCTCTGCCCCCAAGTTCCTGACCGCTTCCCCTCTCCCTCCTATGGCTTTTTTTTTTTCTTTTTTGGTATTATGTTTTCCTTGAGAGCCTTACTCGCCTCTTACCCTATCTCTCATGTGTTAGGTCCAACTCTTGGCTTACAAGAGATGATCTGGAACCTGAGACTAGCTGTTAGTCTCGCCTCGAGCAATTACAGAATAAATCTTCATTGTCTGGAGCTCAGGTTGCTCATGTACAAAATGAGTAAGAGCTGAATGATATCCTTTTTGTTGTTGGTTTCTTTTTGACATGTGCCTCCCTATGCAGCCCAGGTTCTTCCTGCCTCAGCCTCTCAACTGCTTGGATTAGACAGCATGTGCTACCATACATGGGGGGCCCAGACCAGCTTCGAAGTTCCTGGCGACTTTAATCTTTACATTCATACAGATCTGTGTCAACCCTATGACACATCAATGCTATACGACAGGCAACTCTTCCACCTGAGCTACAGCTACAGCCCCATGTTTTAGTATAAATGCAACATATCTCTCCCCTAAATCTTTTTTTCAAGATAGGGTTTCTCTGTATAGCTTTGGCTGTACTGGAACTCACAAAGATCCACCCGCCTCTGCCTCCCAGGTGCTGGTACTAAAGGCACGCACCACCACCGCCTGTCTCTCCTCTAAATCTTTAAGCAAACTTGATTCACAGAGTTAAATCATTTTTATCCTGAGCTTACCTGTAGCACCACCACAGAGCAGGAGGGAGAGGCACAAGGTCCTTTCAGGTCTCCAGCCTGTGGGCTGGGTCTGTGGACTATTATCCCCTCCTAATGTAGCCACAGAGCTACTTGACTTGGGCCCCCTCACCCGTTTTTGAGACTGGGTTTCTCTGTAGAGCTCCGGCCATCCTGGAACTAACTCTGGAAACCATGTTCCACACGCCTCTGCCTCCTGAGTGCTGGGACTAAAGGTGTGCACTCAGCCCGCTGCTTGGACTTATAACAGAGGATTCTAGAGATGGAGTCTCATCACCAAGAGGGATTCTAACAGCTGCTGGGGAAGAGGTGATGAACACGAGCATGCTGGCAGTGACAAGGAGTTCACACAGGCAGGCCCTCAGCTGACGTAGGAAAAAAAGCAACCTCATCACCCAGACACTGAGGCTTCTCTATAGTACTTATTGGTTTGTTTTCAACTTCCCTAGACAATTGAAAGCAAAGCAAGCTTGCTTTTATCATCATGAGACAGGCCCTAGGGGCTCAGCCTCAGATCCAAGGACAAAGCTAGACAGTCAGAGAGAGATTCACTTACCATGGAGCCCAGCAGAAGTTCTCTACAGTCCCGGACACTGAGTTCAGGTGCAGGCTGGGGCTCTGTATCCATCACAAAACCCTTGGGCACCTTGAAGGGGACACCATCGAGAGCATGCATTCCGCCAGAGAATGGAGGTGCTGTCTCAGAAGGGCTGAGCAAGTAGCCTGATGGCAGGGAGAAGGTATAGTCCTCAGAACCGGCCTCAGACACACCCTCCTGTGTGGCGGCCCCCACAACTGGAAGGAAGAAACAGATTGGCCAGTGCTGTACAGGGGGAAGTGAGTAAAACCCAGAGTATCCACACTGACTATTTTATGTCTAAGTCTCGTGTTATCAGGCATGCCCAAGCCATGCCCATAACCTGCATGTTCAACCGCAAGATAGCAATGAACAGGACCCAATACGAAACTGTAAACTTACTTAAAACACTGTAAGGGATTTTTTTCTATTATTTTTCTGATTTGGTAATTGAGACCTGTGGCATTCTCCTGCAAGGTGTCCTCTGACATCACACGCATGCGATGGCGTACATGCATGTGCACGGTGCACACACACACACTAAATAAATGTAATACATTTTCCTAAAGAATAAGGATGAAGAGCAAGAAAATAAAATAGAGAAACTATGTGACTGTACATCTCTACAGTCAGGGTCCCCTGGAGCTGGAGTTACAAGTGGTTTCCCTGGCATGGCTGCTAGAAATTGCTCTGGTCCTCTTCAAAGCAAGAAGTGTTCTTTAACCACTGGGCCACCTCTCCAGCTGAGTTGTTTATTATTATTATTATTATTATTATTATTATTATTATTATTATTATTATTATTTCTGGAGCTGAGGTCCAAATCCAGAGTTCAGTGTTTTCGAGGCAAGCACCTCTGAGCCACATTCCCAACTCTACTTCTCTACTATTTTAAGAAACATGAGGCTGGGGACATAGTCCAGTGTGGAGCATTTACCTGCTTTGCATGAGGCTCTGGACTTTGATTCCCCAGAGCAACAAAAACAAATCCCCAAACAAAATCAAACCCAGACCCAGCAAAAAACCTTAACTCAAAAAACCGCTAACTTTAACCTTAACTTAATCTTTTAACCTTAACTTAGGGCTGAAAGGCAACTTTCTCAACCTAGTAGAGACTATCCCTAACCACCGTTCCACCCTATCCAACCTAAAGCCCTGAGAGATATCCTCAAGGCCGGCAGTGAAACAAGGGTGCCATACCACCTGCCACCATCTATTCTGGTCGTCATGGCCCCAGATACAGCTTGTGCAAGAAGGGAAGGAAACTAATACAGATTGGAAAGAAAGAAAACAACCATTATTTGTAGATGACACAGTTATATGAGCCAAATCCAAAAGAATCTATGAACAGAACCTAGAACCAGTAACAATTTAGAAAGGACACTGGCTACACAGTCAACACACAAAGTAAATTGTATCCTTATGTGTAAACAATAAACCATGTAAAAACATTTTTTAAAATTTAATTAAAGAGTGACTTTTTAAAAAATAGACCACTGTTGTTTATTGATATTATAGCCACCACCAAGGACTTCATTTAACACAGTATGGGTAAGGCCTCTACACAGAAAAACAAAAGCTATTAGACAAGTGGAGGAACATACCCTGCTCAAAGATGGTAAACTTCAATATATAATTCTCTGAAAAATGGCTTGCAGATCCCAAGGATTAAAATTTTACCACATTTTTTAACGTAAATTGGCATGCTAATTCTAAAACTAAATGGGATACAAAGAACCAAGAAAAAAAAAAAAAAGCCAGGGCAATCTCTTTTAACTTGTGTGCATGAATATGCAGGTGATGTGTGAGCAGGTTCCCTCGGAGGTAACCGTGCTGGACTGTTGGCAGTTGTGAGCTGCTAACCAGTTAGGTTTGGGCTCTGTGAGGATAAGAAGTGCTCTTAATCACTGAGCTATCTCTCCAGCCCCAGGCCAATCTTAAAGAAACAAATTAGAGAAGGGAGAGAAACAGGCAGACAGACAAGACAGCGCTGGGAGGCAGAGGAAGGAGAATTTCTGAGTCCAAGGCCAGTCTAGTCTACATAGGGAGGCCCAAGCCAGTCGGGCTATTTAGTGAGACCCTTCCTCAAAAACTAAAGCAAATGCTAAAACCCCCTAAACAACCAACTAATAAACAGAAAAAAAGTGTGGGAGAGACACAAGGTTCTTCAAAGGGACCAGAGGAATGAAAATAGTCCAGAGACAGAGTACACAATACAGAGCTTGATTAGGGACAAATTTTGCTCTGCAGAACAGTAAAGACTTTTCAAGAAGTGTCCTAAATCAATCCAATATCCGTCTTGAGGGGAAAAAAGAAACAATCTTGTTAGAGCGCAGTGGTAGCACACTAGTTTATACAAATGAACCTCAGAACTACAAAAAACTGACCTCAACTTCATATCACACACTAAGTCCCATCCCACAGTTCTAGATGTGAATGGCAGAAATGAAACAGCAAAGCTTAGAGAGTCTATGGCATCATGCTGGAATAAACACACTTTTTAAAAAAGATATATTTACTTACTTTACTTATATAAGAGCTTTATCTGCATGTACACCTGCAGGACAGAAGAGGCATCAGATCCCAGTCACCATGCGGTGCTGGGAATCAAACTCAGGACCTCTGGAAGAGCAGCCAGTGCTCTTAACTGCTTAGCCATCTCTCCAGCACACAGACTTTTTTTTTTTTAATTTGAGTGTATTACTTACCTATGTGTGGCTAATGATGCAGAGCCAGTCTTGGCATAAATCTGTAATCCCAGCTACTCAGAAGACTGAGGCAGGAGGATCACAAGTTCAAGGCCTGCTTGGGCTATAGAGTGAGTTTAAGTATAGCCTGGGAAATTTAGTGACCTTCTTAACATATGGGGTAAGAAGAGGGCTGGGGACACAGAGCTCAGGGCTCAGTGGCAGAGTGTTTGGTTAATCTCCAGTATTACAGTATTATACACAAAGGAAAAGACTAATCATGAAGAAAATATTGTGAAACTGGATTCAAGTTAGAAATCCTAGTCATCAGAGTTTAAAGACAACCAGGATGGGAGAGATTTGCAATGTATCTCCTGACAAAGGACTCATGTTCAACACATAAAATGAACAAACAATAACAGGAAGTTTTATTTTCATTAGAAGGATATCCAAATGGCCTCTTTAGTCATTGGGTATATAAAATAAAACAGTGACTAACACACACCCAATCATGAATGGCTCAAATTAAAAAGCCAGGGCATAACATGCTGTTGAAGATGTGAACATTTGTAACTCTCATGCACTATTGGTAAAGTCAATCAGAGCAAGGCATAGTGGCACACACCTATACTCCCAGCACTCAGGGAGGCAGGGGCAGGTAGATCTCTGTGAGTTCGAGGCCAGCCTGGTCTACAGAGTCCAGGACAGCCAAGGCTGTCCTGTTTAAAAACCCTGTTTAAAAACAAAAACAAACAAACAAACAAGGAAAGAAAAAGAGTCAATCAGTACTGGTCTATAGTATCTACCAAGGCTAAAATTCTGGAATTAAAATCTTCATATCCCTTCTCTTTGGTAGCACTGTATAGTATCTGCGCTTGATTTAGTAACACAAGGAATTTACTACCTATACACAATACATATATATAGCACAAACTAAACTCCTGACCATAGTCTGGCAGTTTGCAAACAATAGGAGCTTAGACCAGAGTACGCCTCTGGCTCCACACAATCTGTCACCTCTGACAGGATGACACAGAGCCCTGCTGCTTGGGGTCACTGTGCGGTCATCCTGTTCCCAACAGGACAGGTTTATGGCGAGGTGGGGTGGGTAATCTGGGAGCAGACAGGTCAAGTGATGGCAGGTGGCCAAAGCCCTTAATGCCCTCATCTCCTCCCCCATCTGTCTACTCTCATCAGTGTCTTCCTGCCTTTAGGGCTCATCTCTTCCTGCCAGAACCCACGTTCCTGCATATCCCTGGGTGGCTCTTTATGGCCCTCTATGGGCAAGATCAGGCAGGTCTTGGGGTAACCCCCAAATCTGTGTTATTGGCTCATTCTTACTGGACACAAGTGAGGTCTAGGGATGTTACAGGAGGCTCAGGAATGTTCAGCAGATTTTACCATCCTCCGATTTATCTTCCAGTCTTAGCTGCCGCTGAATACTGAATTACAGAGAAGGAAGAGCCTCAAGCTCAAGCTTCTCTTGAGGCTCAACTGTAAAATCTTGTCCACTTAAGATAGACACCGCAATGCCTGTCCTCATCTTCCACTTGAAATCTGCAACCCTAGTAACTGTTTTCTGCCCAGCTGTGAGCTGGCTTCTAGTTTGAAGATTCTGAGGATCTCTTTCTGAAGAACAGCCAGGGCCAGAGTGGAAGTCAGAGCAAGTTAGAACACTTTAAAATGCACCAGGGAGTGCCTCTGAAAGGGGTAATCTAGTCCTTGGAGGGCTTGGGAAAACCCGAGGAAACAGTGGGGCTTGACTTGGGCATCCAAGGGTAGGAAAATGGATTTTGAGCAGAAAGGGGATCAAAGAGCAGGTGCCCGGAGAAGGAACAGCATGAGGCAGAAAGCAGATGCAGAACCTGCAGGGTGGGGGAGGGGTCACGGTGAGTAAATGGTGTGAGCGGTCTGCAGCAAGACTCAAGGGGAAGGACTGGAGGTGGCAGAAAGGCCCCAGTGGCCTGGATGGGCAGGGATACGTAAGGAAAGCAAGGCTGTGCATGCTTCAATGCCCCAACAAACTCTATAATCCAACGTTTCTCCATTCCCAGCTGAGCTGTGCCCACTGGGCAGCACCTGAGAATGGGGCTGGAGCCTGGAGTGGGTATGAGGCAGTGACTGACCTAGGTGGGGGCCTGGAAACAAATGGCACTCCCCACTGTCCTCTGACTTCATCCTTAGAGCTTCAGTTATCTGCCAACAACCCCGTGTCTCTTCTGAGAGCAAACTCATAAAACCTGCCCACAGGAACCTCCAAGTTCAGAGTGCCTCCAACTCAACACCCACAAAGCAAACTTGAGCTTTCTTCCCTCAAACCTTCCTCCCATAGTCTTTGTCTCGTGGTATGACGACCTGAGCCAGGGTGCTGACTCACTCATTTTCTTTTACTGCCTCCCATGTCAAATCTTCCACCAAGTCTCTTCAGGGTCCGCCTTTGTTACCATGTCCATGGTAACAACCTGGTGGTACCTCACTAGGACA